AGGAGGCAAGTTAAAGTGTTTAGCATTACCATCATTATGATGGAAAATGATCATAGAAATAGTTGAGTAAGTAAGTCGGAATTCAAGAAAGGTGCAAGACTGCTCAGAATTGGCAGAAGTATTCAGTTGATAAAGCATGGACAAGCAATGAATTTTGATAAAGTTTTTCTGAAAGTTCGACTAATGAGAAGTGTCGTTCGATAAGTTGCATTCTTTTCGTATAAGTCCGTTCAAAGTTCTTTGAACTAGTAGAAGAAGTATTCTAACATTAAGTTTTACCTCCCAAGTTGGTTAGTATGAGTAATGTTTTTCACGTATTGATGATACGTATATACGTGAGCAATCCAAATTATGTGCTTTAGCACAATGATATTTAGATTTAGTAAATTTTAAATTGCGAGGAATAGCCGGTATCAGTTTTAGACCAAAAGGTTCATTGGCTAAGGAATCGAGATATTCCCCTCGTTTGTATAAAATGGAATTGCCACAGAGAATAAGATGCCATTTGGGAGGGATAAACTGATGTTAGAGTTTTAGATTTTAAAGTTTTTGATATATAATCAGATAATATATATCCCAGTTTCAGTATTTCCGAGGACGGAAATAGTTTTAAGGGGGGTAGAATGTAATATCCCATTCAGTTATTAGTAATAAGTATCAATTTATTTCCAAGATTGAGCTATTTTGAGGCTTAAAAAGTTAAAATTTTAAAGTTTTAAAATCACACGGGTCGTGTGGGTAGCCACACTGGTCGTGTGAAGTCACACGGGTCGTGTGACAAGCCACACGGGTCGTGTGGCTCAAGGCACTATTCAAGTTTAGCTTCGATTTTTTCACACGGGTCGTGTGACTTAAGTGACACGGGTCGTGTGAGTTCACACGGGTCGAGTGACTCATGTGACACGGGTCGTGTGGCGTCACACGGGTCGTGTGACTTGTGACACTGGTCGTGTGACCGACAAAATTTCAGATTTTTATGATTCGAGTTTGATGCCAACTAAAGTGTATTTTGAGCAATTAAATATGCTTAGCTAAAAATTTGAAATGTTTGGTAAGGACTTGTTTAAGTGATTAATTTTTACAAGTTTAAATTGTTTAATTTATTAATTTCTTCACTCCAAATATTTTATTCCAAAGTTTTGGCTATAAATAGAGGCTTCAAAAATCAGATTGTTACACCAAAGTAAAGTATCAAAGTTATATTGAGAGTTTAAGTGAGGAGAAGTATTTTGGAGTAAAGGATTTTCACGATATTCAAGTTCATATTCAAGTTCATATCAAGTCTTTCAAATTTCAAGTCCTTGAAGGAGGTAATTCATGCTTGTATTTGATGATTGAATCATGTTATTAGCATATCATGATTAGTATAAGTGATTCTTGTTAGAATTTAAGTATTTGATATCATGCATGAGTTATAAGATGAGTAATGATTTAGTTTATGTTGGCATAATAGTATCCATTTCATGTTATTGATATGAGTTATCATGATGAGAAGTTGATAAGTTATAAGTTGATAGCTTAATATGATGTGTTATTCATGTTAAGTGTAAGAGTATGAGTTTCACATTTGATGATGAGTAAATTGATAAGTTTAGCATCAAAATGTTGATAAGCATGCAATTTCATAAATTGTGCAAGTGTAGCTTTAACATGTTAATATCATAATTTAATGTTATGATTGAGTTATAAGGATGAGCAAGTTTAATTGTTATAAATCATGAGTTAAGTTTGATGTTGGTAAGTTGAATATGTTGAGTTATGTATGTGAGTTTGAGTTATTTCACTTACAAGTTTTGTAAGCCAACATCTAAGTAATAAGGCGTGATTTATATGAGTTGAGTTTTATCTTTGGAGGAAGTTCATCAAGAGTTTGATTTATTCAAGGTATTATGATATTTGAGCTATGGTTTGTATATTAATCGGATAAGTATCAGTTAAAGATTATTCGAGCATAGTACTTATTATTCTTGCTTATATTATTTATGTAGCGTGAGAAGTTCGGCTACAAGAACAACACTTTCAATTTTCAAAATAGTTTTCAAGAAGAAAGGTGGGAACCCAGACTGGGTAGTACATTGAGTATAATAGCTAGATCATGTTCAAAGGTATGTATATGAGTTAAAGTTATGCTTGGGGTGGAGGCGCAGTAGCCTTAATAAACCATCCTAAGTAAGTTAAAGACTCGCCCAGTCCAGATTGGGTTTTGGGGAGGCAGCCCCCAATATGTGATCACGTGAGAACCGGCAGTACGGTAGTTTCAAAGTTCAGTTAAAGTTACCGGACCAATGTCCGGGAGAAGCTTATATATACCTGTGATCATGATATTGATATTATTATTAATGTTTACTTTAGTATGAGTTTTTACGGAACACAGTTGATTAGTACTCACGTCCCACTATTATCATTTTCAGGTAACATGGTCGGGCCGAGGGTGTGAGTCAAGCTGTTGTGGTGTCGGTTGTGCTTTCAGTTGTGCATTCAGTTGTGCATTCAGTTGTGAGTTTATTAAAGTTTGATTGTGAAATTCAATAAGGCATCGGTTGTAAATACCACGCTTAAAGACTTCCGCTATGTATATTAAATTTGAGCTTGTGTGATTTGAAGTTTGATAATTAAGTAAAGTTTTTGTTTATTATTATAAATGAGTTTAGTTTCACACTTGTTTAAAATGTTAAATCTGTTTTATCGAGTTTAAGAAAACAGATTTTCAAAGAAGTTAAGTTTTAGTAGCATTCCGAGTTAAGAATATTTCGAAAAAGTTATAAGTATGTTTCGAAATAAGTTGCGAAAAATTTACTCAGATGAGCGGGGTGTTACAGTTGGTATCAGAGCCAAAGTCTAAACGCTCTGTATACTAAAAGTTTAAGTTTTGAGAAAGAAAGTTTCAGGAAAACTGACCGCACCACACTCACACCTCGCCGACTACATGGTAAGTGTTGTTAAGAGTTTTTATGAAATTTTAATATATGCAAATTACTAAGTCTATGCTCAATAAGAATCAGATGTCTGAATTTTATCAAAATAGATGCTCAATAAACATAGTATTTTGGCAGTATTTTTCTAAGTGTGCTAAAAGTTTATCTTTTACGATAAATTTTAGATGGCACCTCTAGCTAGAAAAGAATTGACGACCTCAGAAGTTGTTGCCCAGTTCCGGGGATTCAATGCTGAGAAATTCTCTGGGCAAGGAGATCCTCGTTTAGTCGAGGAGTGGATTCAGGGTCTGGAATCTATTTTCGAGATCACTGAATACACAGACAGACACCGTATTCTCTGTGCACAACTTCAGATGACTGGAGATGCAAGACTATGGTGGAACTCTTACTGGAGCATGCGTCCTGGTGAGAAGGAGCATCTCACTTGGATCCAGTTCAAGGAGATGCTAGAAGAAAAGTACTATCCAGCTCATTACCGTGCTGAGATGGAACGCCAATTCCTAGCGTTAGTCCAAGGTAATCGCTCTGTGGGCGAATACGAGCGAGAGCTTACCAGATTGGGATCTTTTGTCAGTTATCTGATAGACACGGAGGCCAAGAAAGCAAGGCGCTTCCAAGAAGGGTTACTACCAGTAATCCGTCACCATGTAGCCGGGCATTGCATTCAGACCTATGCTGAAGTTGTGACCAAGGCTCAAGAAGTGGATGCGAGTTTCAGAAGAGGAGATGGCCAAGTTCAAGTGCCGCCACTTCCTCAAGTTCCAGTCAGTTCCCCAGTGCAGCCCATGCCTGACCAACCAGCAATGAACAAACTCAAGAACAAGAGAAAGTTTAAGGGCCCTCAGAATAACCAAAGGCAGCCAGCTCCAGCTAACCGACTACCAGTTTGTGGCACGTGTGGATGTGCTCATCGTGGAGAGTGCCTAGCAGGGCAGAATGTCTGCTATAATTGCAGGAAGCCGGGGCATATGACCAAGGAATGTCCAGACAGGCAGCAGCCTCAACCTCAGGCTCAGCCTCAGCAGCAGAGGCGAGCGGGGCAGCAAGCTCAAGTATATGTTGTGGACCAGGCTCAGGCAGAGGAGAACCCAGGTACCATGTCTGGGATGATTATTTTAAATGATATTCCTATTTTTGCATTGTTTGACACGGGAGCATCGCATTCTTTCGTGTCAAAACGATGTATAGAAGCCATAGGAGTTCAACTCCTTGACACTGTTGATCCTCTTGAGGTAAGTTTAGCCTCAGGACAGAAAATAGTGACGAGTTCTAAGGCAGAAAACCTTAGACTCAATATTAGGGGGCGAATCTTGGAGGTCGGCGCGTACGTCATCGAGATGAGGGATTTTGACCTCATACTCCGTATAGATTGGCTAACACGTTACCGTGCTGATATTTGTTGTCATGACCGAGAGGTAATTCTTTATCTTTCGGAGGAGGATCAAATTTCTTTCTACGGCTCAAAGAGGCGAACGTTGCCTCGGGTAATTTCTATGGCGAAGGCAAGGAAGATTATAAGACGGGAGGATTGTCAAGGATATTTGGTGAGTATTGTTGATGAAAATTTGAGAGCACAAACACCTTATGATGTTCCAATTGTTCGTGAGTTTGTGGATGTGTTCCCGGACCAATTACCAGGAAGACCACCCAACAGGCAAGTGGAGTTCACAATCGATCTTGTTCCTGGAGCAGCGCCTGTGTCAAAGGCACCATATCGGATGGCACCAAAAGAATTGCAAGAGTTAAAAACTCAAATTCAAGAGTTCTTGAAACTTGGTTTCATTAGACCAAGTGTTTCGCCTTGGGGAGCACCTGTATTGTTTGTCAAGAAGAAGGATAGTTCCATGAGAATGTGTATCGATTATTGGGATTTAAACCGATTAACGATAAAGAATAAATATCCGCTCCCAAGGATAGATGATTTGTTTGATCAGTTGAGAGGGGCTTGCGTATTTTCAAAGATAGATTTACGCTCAGGATATCATAAACTGAAGATTAAGGAATCTGACATAGCTAAAACTACATTTCAGACAAGATACGGTCACTACGAGTTTGTGGTGATGCCGTTTGGGGTAAGTAATGCACCAGCGGTGTTCATGGACTTGATGAACCGTGTTTTCCACAAGTATTTAGATCAATTTGTCATCGTTTTTATTGATGATATTTTGGTCTACTCCAAGAGTCAAGAAGAGCATGAGCAACATCTAAGGGTTGTTCTCACTACCCTTAGAAAGGAGAAGTTGTATGCCAAATTCTCTAAGTGTGAGTTTTGGCTGAAGAAAGTGGCATTCTTAGGCCATATTATCACTGAGAGAGGTGTAAAAGTGGATCCAACAAAGATAGCTGCAATTCAGAATTGGTCAGTACCAAAGAACCCATCAGAAGTTTGAAGTTTTCTCGGATTAGCAGGTTATTATCGTAGATTTATCGAAGGGTTTTCAAAGATTGCTCTCCCTTTGACAAATTTAACGAGAAAATCTGTGAAGTTCGAGTGGTCCGATCGTTGTGAGAAGAGTTTTCAAGAGCTTAAGAAGAAGCTTACATCAACACCAGTATTGATTATTCCTGATCCTACTAGAAGTTTTACTATTTATAGTGATGCTTCTAAAAGGGGTCTTGGATGTGTACTCCTGCAAGATGGTCAAGTTGTTGTATATGCTTCGCGATAATTAAAACCGCATGAGCAGAATTATCCAACTCATGATTTAGAGTTGGCAGCGGTAGTGCACGCACTCAAGATTTGGAGACATTATCTCTATGGTGGCCAATGTGAAATATTCACTGATCACAAGAGTTTGCAATATATATTCACTCAGAAGGAGCTCAATATGCGCCAAAGAAGATGGTTGGAGCTTGTGAAGGATTATGATTGCACCATCTAATATCATCCGGGGAAGGCGAATGTGGTCGCAGATGCTCTAAGTCGTAAAGTGAAGGGTGGATTGGCACATTGTATCACTCAGCAAAATCAACTTATTAATGAGTTTGCTCGGATGCAGATTGAAGTTGTCAAGACACTTCCTAAGGAGGTTACTGGAAGGGTTAACTCAATGAGAGTTCAGCCTATGCTGAGAGAAAAAATTCGGAAGGAGCAATCTTTCGATCAATTTGTTCGGAAGATGGAAGAAAAAGTTCAAGCTGGAGGAGTAGAAGGTTTTTGTCGAGGTTTCGAAGGAGTATTGGAGTTCAGAGGAAGGATTGTTGTGCCAAAGGTCGAGGCTTTGCAAAAGGAAATCTTGTCAGAAGCACATAGTGCACCATATTTAGCTCACCCTGGAAGCACCAAAATGTATCATGACTTGAAAAAGTCATTTTGGTGGAAAGGGATGAAGAAAGATGCAGCAGATTTTGTGAAGAAATGTTTGGTCTGTCAGCAAGTTAAGGCCGAGCATCGGAGTCCATTAGGTCTGTTGCAACCAATAGAGATTCCTAAATGGAAGTGGGAAGAAGTTACCATGGATTTTGTTACAGGGCTACCTAAGTCATCAGAACAACATGACGCGATTTGGGTAGTAGTAGACAGGTTGACGAAAGTCGCTTGTTTTATGGCTGTAGCAATGACCATGTCAATGGATAAGTTAGCTGAAATTTATACTCGTGGAATTATTCGACTCCATGGAGTGCCTGTTACAATAATATCTGATCGAGATCCCAGATTCACTAGTAAATTTTGGGAAAGTTTGCATAAGGCAATGGACACGCAGTTAAGTTTCAGGTCGGCTTATCATCCGGAGACAGATGGCCAGTCAGAGAGGACGATCCAGACGCTTGAAGATATGCTCAGAGCTTGTATTCTGGATAGAGGTTCCAAGTGGGAGAAGTGGTTGTCGTTAGTAGAATTTGTATACAACAACAGCTATCATTCATCAATTCGGATGGCTCCTTACGAGGCACTTTATGGCCGCAAGTGTCGTTCACTTCTTTATTGGGATGATGTTGGAGAAAAGCAAGTACTTGGCCCGAAGATGATCGAAGAAACTGTTGAAC